TTACTGCTCTCTACAACTACCTAAAACGAGGTTGCAGCAAGATGAGCAATAGGACAAAAGGATATAGTTTTAAGTTGTTTAAACTGGATATTAGGAAAAGTTGCTTCACTGATAGGGTGGTCCAGCATTGGAACAGGCTGCCCAGGAAAGCAGTGGAATCACTATCCCTGGAAGTGTTTAAAAACTGCATGGATATAGCAGTATCTACCACTCTTTAAAATGTGCTAATCAATGTGATAAGGAAAGCCTACACAAAACTATTAAAAAAATCCAATAGTTGTTGAAAGGCAGCTAGTTCAAGAAGTGATGTATCTAATTCCAATTTTGGTGCTTATTCTCTGTTTATATTGGTTTGGTCATTGGCTTCTAGGCATGCTCGATTTTCTTCTCCTCTGTTTCTTTGGGGAAAGCGATGATGAGGATATTCCTATATTGTCATCTGAAGATGATGTAGGCTATTGCTTTTGTTGGTTACCAAGGTGGGTCCCAAAGAGGGGATAGATTTTGGGATCGTATGGCATTTATTTCCCTGTTTGAGGCTTTGTAAATCAGTAACAGAGTCTCAAAACAGACATTTTTGGCCACAGAACCAGTATATTTTGTGGTATGCTGATTAAAATTGTCTATGAGCTGCAGAATTTTGCTTGCATTAAGGCAGAGGGTTTTCCAGCTTGAGAGTTCTAAATATTTTCAGTCTGCTGCAGTGCTATAATCATTACTATTGCTCCTGTAGCTGCTGCTTCTATCACTAGGAGCATAACTTAAGAGAAGTGAGCAGTGCCTTCAGGTTTGTGTTCATCAGTGAAAAGTTAAATTTTGCTACAAGAAAAAAATAAAAACATTTTCTAGCCAACTACAGGCAACAATATTTAGAAGTACTCACTAGCTGAAAAAAGCAGACTAGAAAATTACATTTATTACTAAATTATGCATAATTTTCAACTTGCCAGAAAATTTAGTTTATCACGTATACACCATCCTGAATTAAACCCAGTATTTTCTGAATATTGCTACAGTCACTTATATATTAGACATTATTTCATCAGTTTAGCTCTCCTTCAGTAGTTTATTTTATCCTTCCTAGATCTGTGTTCATTATTCTCATCTGTTAAAATGAATTTTTATTAGAGAAATGTGATGAACCCTTTATACTTTTCTTTAAAAAGTAAGGGTATAGATAGTTAGTTGGTAATTTCCTGTGTATTGGTTTGCCTCGTAAGAAAGCCTTGGAAAGATGTCAAAATGGGATTTATATACTATAGTTAAACAGTTCATAACTGTTTAACTCTACCAGTCTAGGAAAAAAACCAAACCAAACAAAAAAACCACAATAACAAACAAAACAAGAAAATGAAACAGACAAAAAGCAAATAAACAAAACCACAAAAGACTGTTCATCTCAGGACTTCTATTCTGAGAGTCATTCAGGTAGAATTTATTTTCATAAAGCCCATGGGAATTTTGTTAATGAAAAGGAAGTATCAGACAGCAGTAGCTATATTAAAAAGCTTTCTTCTTAAATATGGATTTTAAAGTCGGCCCCGCAGAAGCTAATGAAAGAGAAGATTGAAGGCTTCAGACTGTCTGTTGATAGGGTCTTCTGTAAATTTAGAGTGGACTTACCAGTGGAGGATCTGATAATGAAATTGATTCACTTTACAGATATTTAGTATTCTGAGAAAAGATCTATTCTGGGAAAAGTCTCAAGCATAAGAAAGCAAGTATCTAGCATAGGTGAATCAGAGCAATGTTTCTGCTTCAGTTACTCCTTAAAATAGGGAGCATTCACTTTGAAAAATCTACTCTAGAGGCATAATGCTAATAGGACACAGAATGTTTTATAATGTGCAGGCCTGAAATCTATGTCAGCACTGATTATCTTAAAACTGGAAATCTGCCAAACTGCTGCAAGAAATTTGTCTAATTAACAAAAAAGGTACTATTAAAAGGCCAGTTATTAGAGTGGTTTGGAGATCACAGGTGAGTTGTATACCTGAAAAAGATTGTAGGTTATATTGATTCTGTAAAGCAAACCTTAAAAGAAAAATTAAAAAAGAAAAAAGCTTGTATGTGCTTCAATTCATTCTCATTCTCTTCCCCCATTATAAACTGTTCTGTCATCTTGGATGCAAATCTATGTTATATGCACAATCTTCCAGACTGTTTTTGTAAGTGGTGTTAATACTGTCCCTATTAGCATTTTGTAGTGAGTAGGCTGTCAGTATGGAAATTTGCCTGCAAATGTCAGTGATCCCGTGAGGTAGCTCTTTCCAGAGAGATACTAATAATACTTTGTGAATTAAGAACTCTTTCAAACTGGTGAGGTATTCATAAATTCTTTGTACTGAAAAGCAGCTGCAGAAGAAATAAAGGTAAACTTTCTGAATCTCTATAAAATATCTCTGTGAAAATACTGCAAATCTAACAAACTAGAGTAAGACTGGTCTGGGTAGTAGTGACTGGCATACAAGAGGATACCTTTAAGGTGGGACAAAGAGGTCTGCTACACTATACTGAAAAAAAACATTAACCCTTTTGCCGCACGCTGGACTAAAAAGCTTGATTTTTCCTTCCACAGTAACTATTCAAACATGCTAGACCTAAAGAGCAGTCCTATATCTCTGGTACCCTCTGCCCTGTCCTCTTCCAGCTTTTTTGCTCTCTTCATCTTAGATGTATTATATCCCCTTATACTTTTGAAGATGGCACTGCTTTGAGCTGGAGACTCAGACTTCCAGAAGTCCCTTTCAACTAAGATTTTTTCAGTGATCCTATGATTACCTGATAATCACAACCTTTTTTGGCTTCTGGCTAAAACTCCTTTGAATTTTCTTTAGTATTAAAATCCTCAAATTCTTCATTATAGTTTTGAATACCCTCCAAAATGGATTTGTTCCTCTTTAACCCTTTACTATGATCTCTGCCTTTTATCTCCTTTCTATGCTTTTGTGTGCTCTTTCTTTATGTGCATTGTGTCCTTCATTTCATTTATACCACTTTCTAATTCACATACCACACAAATTATGTGTGACAACCTCAACAAATCGTCAAAACCAAAGTTTCTTTTAGCCCTAGACACCATGCTCTGTAGTTTTAATCACAGGATTTTTGTAATTGCATTGTCTGATGATGTTGACAAAAGAAGTTACCTAAATCTGTTGTAAGCTATATTTAAGTGAACAGTAAGAAATATTAAATCTCTACCACTTATGGTGTTCTGCAGTTTCTTGACCTATCTCCAGGAAAGAAACAAACATCTTTTGTGTTAATAATCATACTGCAAAGAGTGTCCTGGAGAGAAGATTGATTCCTTCAGTAATAAAAGCGAGAGTAATAAATGGTTCCCTTCTCCCAGACACTTAGTGGACAGTAAAGAGTCATTCCTTCTCACCTTCACTTCACATATCCCCAGCATTTTAACATTCCTCAAAGTTTTCCACTAAAGGCGTTTTCTGTATAGCAATAGAAACCCTCCGTCTTGCATGAACACAATTGAGATAGCCCGTCTTAGTCCCTTAGTTTACCTCATACAAAGACATTCATAGGTTCAGGGTAAAGCTGAAAATAAGAATATTTAAGGAAAATTTCAGCAAGAAAATAGAATTTACAAGTCTATAAATGTCTTCTGAGTGTATTCTTCTAACTCCTAACGTTAATGTTATTGGGAATAGAGATTCCTCTGTTACCTGTCAAGTCTTCTATTGACTGTTTTGATCTCCTTTCAATTCCCATTTCATAGGGATAATTGACTAAGTTCCAAAAGTGAAGAAAAATCATCAGGTGAATGTAGACCTATTAGTTAAAAAGAGAATGTGAAAAATCTGAAGAGAACTTCTAAGCCCTAGACGCTTTGGCCAGTATCCCATGTGAAAACAGGGAAGATAGAAATAGATCTCTCCATTTGACAAAAGAAACTTCAACATTCTCAAATATTCTTTCATTGTCAGCCTACATCACTGATCACTTTGAAGCCAAGTATATGTCTAATCAATGCTTTCCAGAATTCTGAGCAGAGATCATTAAAGGTTTAACAAAAATAAAGCATTTTACAAATGACCCTCTTTGACAGAAACATGGTTTGGATTAATTACAATCAAAATAACAAAGAAGAATGAGGTTTAGACTACTAATGTTTCTCTTTTTTTTTGCCTTTGCTTTTCATGAACACTCACAGGGACATGAACTTTTAATATGTCAGTTTGTAATACCCCATTTTATTGCATTTGAAAGATTGACTTTACTGTCTTTTACTGATAGTCTAATTTAATTGGTGAATGGAAGATGAAGTTTGTAATTTAATTGATTGATATATGGACTTCAGAAGGTGTATATTAGTTAATTATAAAAAGTTCAAATGTATAATTCTTTTAATAAAATAAAATTACCTCATTACTTAGAAGTAAGACCAAGGGTATTATGGATTGAAAAGAATTGTTGGGCTTTTTTCCATTTTGTCATGTAAAGTGTTTTCTCATTGAAAGGATTCTATTTATTGTGCCAGGGTGAAATCTTTCTGAAGGTGAGCTCTCATGAAAGTACAGATCACAGACTAAGACACTGGTACTTAGACATTGTTTTCTTCCTGCAAAAATTATTTTGAGAATTAGCATAATAACTTGTGAAAAATTAGAACTCCAGTTTGGGAGAGGCTTATGCATTTGTATTTTTTTATTATGTTTGTATTTTATTTTATCAACTCTTTAAGGAACTCTGAAAAAGAAAAAATGCTTTAATATTTTTTGTATTGGATTTAATTCAGTACTGTGATGACACTTTCACATTCATTGCAAAGCAATTGATCATAACTGACTTAAGTGACTTAGGACGCATACCATGCTTCCCACTCTTTTTACTTACTGTTTTTTCAAAACAGTGAAGCACCGCAAACACCTTTTAATACGTTGCTACCAAAATTTCTGTAATAAGCCACCTTTAAATTGAGGATGCAAATGAATATTGAGTACTTCAAAGGGCTTAACACCCCCCTGTGTGTTTTGCAGACAATCCTGGACTGGTGAGCCACGTTCCAGTTGGTGTTAGAATACTGGATGTCAATGACAATCCTCCAGAGCTTGCCAGAGATTATGATGTAGTCGTCTGTGAAAATGCAAAGCCTGGTCAGGTAACTCTCACAGTTATCTTTGTCCCAGTCATAAAGAACAATTACTTTGTTAATGTAACATGTCAGAAGTTTGATTTGGGGAATACATGCCATAATTCTTTTTTATTTCATTTTAGCATTTCACATTTGATTCAACTTTTTAACTGTATTAGGGTGAAGGGAGGAAATTTGTCTTGTTGCTGCAAAAAAAAATACTCAAACTCTCTTCTGTAAAGGCAAGTAAAACTTTAATCTTGTCAGATAAGTGATAGAATTTGACAAGCCTGACTATCCTGAACAAAGTGAATGAAGCAGATTTAACATCTCTCATCTAAATGCCACATAGTAGCAAGGTTTCAAATAAAGCTTACTGAAATGGCTGGTGAACATGGCTAACATCCTCATTTTTTGCATGTTGCTTGCCCTTGTCTATGCAGGGTCATTTTGGAAGAGATGTTGAATGAGTTTTTCACAACTATGAGCAGGGGGAGGGTTAGAATGAGGGTAAATAGCTGAATCACATTCTAGCCACTGCTCCTGTGATCCATGCACTTCACTGCTGTCCAGGGTTTGACAATTTTACCAAATGTCTTTGCTTTTCTGCATAGATTGAGTTTTTACACACCACACTATGCTAGTTTTGCATTATTGCACAGGTCGTATCTTTCAATTATGAGCTCATATCTTTCCTGAAGAATATATTACTAGTAATAACATTTTTTTCCTCAAATTCTTAAAAGCAGTGTACATAAATGCATAGTGGTATATTTCTTAAATTTTAAAACACAGGTTATAAAAATGCTGTACTTCATCTGACTATTGCCTGATCAAAGTTGTCTTCACTCTAACAATGTCCAAAAGTTGACACCTAAAGAGCATTATAAGAATGTGGCAAGCGTGTATGATACTTAACCAAGTACTTCCCTGGTCTCAGATCACTTGTGGATCATTTCCTGACCCAAATGTGGTGTCTGTGTTTTTAATAATCCTTTAATAACCATGGCATATGAATCTGGCTAGCTTTTCCCACAACCAGCATAATCTTTTGATATCTATACCTTGTAGTTTTACATTTTAACTGCATGCTTCAATAAAACCTACAACCTTTTTCCTTTTTTTTTTTTTAATCTTCCCATGCTGTATTCCATTGATATTTACCAGTTCTTGTGTTGAGGGAGAGGGAGAGAAAGTGCAGTTGATCTCTATTTATTATCGCTGTACCATGCATAAGTCTCTAGTGCGTTGCCCGTTAACCATCCCTTGTCCAAACTGAAGAGTCCTACTTAACTGGGACAAACCGTGATAAAGCCCTTCTAGACTTTTGATCATTCATATTTTCTTCCCTTGAACTTTCTCCAATTCCTCTTATTCACCCTGAGGGGGAATCAAGATTCAAGATGCAGGTATGCAGTGGTTTATAATTCTTATAATAGCTTATGCTTCATAGTGTATGATGATCTCTGCTTTGCTCTATAGTACTTTCATAGCAATTTCTAACAGTGGCTTTGCTTTTTAACCACTAGTAAGCACTGAATGCAAAAAGCTGCCTGCAATAACACCAATATCATTAAAAGTAATAGTCAGCTCAGAGATCATCATCATGTATATGAAGTTAAGACTTTATGTATTCTATAAGACATTTAATGTTACATTGATCAACAAATGGTCAAACATAAACAGGAAATTTCTGTGACTTTCCCCTCTCATGGAATAGACAACTTACAGAAGAGACTCCGTTTCTTTTAAGCAATTATGTGTACAAGGGCCTTCCCTCCTATCTAATAACTATCTGCATAGCTTTCTTCAGTGCTCTTATTGAGACACCTCATTCAAAGCCCTGGAAAATCTAAGTCAGTCTGTCTGTTAACTGAATATCTCTTATTAAATCCTTATGAAAGTAAAAATAGTTTCTGAAAACCTCAAATAAAACCAAATATAGAAGAATTAGAACTTGTAAAAGATTAAAAAAAAAAAAAGTGATATTTAAGTGGTACAATTGCACTTGCTTCCTATTTGGGTCAGCGTCGTATTTCTCTCTGAGCTACTGTTGCAAGTGAGAATGACTCCATATTTCTGTAAGATTGCAATTTAACAGCCGAGATTAATGCTACCATGAGGGACTCTACAAGTAGTCCTTTAATGTCAAAGGCTGGACCAACTTGGTGTTGTATGCTTAAACTAAGAGGACATACACGACATGCACTATTTTTTATTTGCATTGTACAAAAAAGTTTCAGGAAAATTGTGACACTGTTGCACTATACAAAAACTAAAACAAAACGCAAAAGTGCACAGATCTTACTCAAAAGATGTTACCATTTAGTCTAAGGAAAAGAAAAAAGACAGTGTTCAACAAATATTAGGGAGGGACAAATAAGGATTGCAGAATAAGGCAAGTGTACCATACGCTAAAATGCGTTCCCAACTGGGTGGTTTTGAATCACTGAAAAGGCAGAATTACTCTTGAGTTTTTCATCATCTTATGGGAATGTTTCATAAGATTTATCCCTAAAGAACATATTCTGTACTGCTGGGGATATCTGTTTGACTAGGTCTTTCAGGTTGGGCTCCAGCCTGTCTTACATTGTCCTGTAAGTCCTTATTTGTTTCCTCAGTACATCTATTTTGAAATTATTATGTGCAAGGTAAGCTAACCAGTAGATTGTCATTGGAGGACTTTCTGTCTTTATTTGTTGTCAGAGAAGGCTTCTATGAAGAGAATCAAAGTATCATCTAGTTGCAGAGCCTCTGTCGCTTCTTTTTCCCTCTACTGCTCTATTTTTTTATTTAAAAAATCCCAACCAAACCACCAAACAAAACCAACAAAAATCCAAACCAAAAATTTCTTAAGAGCTTTATGCTTAAGCTTAAATGACACTCCTAAGGCATGACAAAAAGAAAATGCTTTTGAGAAGATAATCATTTCCATGACATACTGACAGCTTTAGTCCCTTAGTAATTGTATTGTTGAGAAGAAAGACCAAGTATCTACAATGGATTCCAAGTGAAGCCTGGTAGATATTATATATTAAAGTTGATAAAGCAGCTGTGATTTTATCTTAAATGGCATTACGACTTGGAGAATACTGACTTCTAGACATATACTCATTTTGTGAATGATTGTGAAATTCAGCCAATATGGGAAAATGACATTTTGCAATCTTCCACAAAGGAAATCAATGTTAGCTGACAAGGAATGCCTCTACTATGTGTTTGTCATGTGCATATTTGCTTCTTTATTGATGCAGTTCTAAAAAAGGATCTGAGTAGAATTTAGCACCTGCTCTTCACCCTCTGCAATTAGGTCTCCTCAGTTTTTGAATTCCTTTTTCTTGCCAAGTCTTACATTTAAAGAAAAAGCATAACCTTTCAGTTTCATTCTATGAGTTTTGTCAACTGAACTTTACTGCAGCTGAGGCTATATGTCTACATTTTTATTGTAATCAGCTTTGGTAAGGTGCCTCCTAATAGGATATTAAGTAGTTGGCAAATTAAACAGAAAAGGGTTAGCAGCAGATTTCGGTGTCAAGAGGACCCATATTTCTGTTTCTCACCTCTGAGTTAATGTCTTACAAATCTTTTCTGAAAGACTGTGAACTTTCTTTTTAAAAACAGGTCTCTAAAAATGTTCTGACCTGTCCTATTAAACATACAGTGTTTGTTTTCTACATGGAAAAGCATGATTTGTATAACATCTGGTGGTATACTTTTTACATATATGGGTGAATTCTATGGACATGTGAATTTCCATGTGTGAAATCAGGGAATGTAGACAGTATATTTTGAGTTATAAAGTTAGTCTTAAACCCAAATAATTTTTATACTAGTCTTGTGGCACTGAGGCCTTGATCAAAGGTATTTTTTTTGCAAAATGGCATGGCCTTGATGTAAGATTCTGTAAAATGTCACTGAGTGTTTTCATTGGAGAGGGTAACAGGACAAAAATTTATCTACTAGGCTGTCAAATAAAAGCATGACAAATTGACTTATATTTCTCTGATTAACAGCATTGAGGATTTTTAAATAATATTTAATAAATTAATATATTTTTATGGTCTTATCTGAAGTTTTTACAGCTCAAATGGCATTTAACAGTATTTTTACTATTTGAATAATAGCAGAAATTGATTCTTTTGAACATATTCTTCCATCTCCCTTTTTTTTTGTCTTGCCTTGCCTCATCTCACCTCATACCATTTCCAAATTATGAACTAAATATAGTTCTAGCTAGGAAAATCTTATATATCTGGTTTTGCAGGGTAGTTTCACTAACAGTTTAACCACCTTTGCAAAATTCAGTAGTGAACAATTAGCTTTTGCCAAACTTTTTAGCCAATATTACCCCGACTTTGATAAACTGCACAATTGTTTAAGATTGATCTTACTCTGCTATACTTCAGCAAAAAAGTGTTATGACAAATTCTTAAAATATTCTTGGCAATCATCCTAAATATTGTTAATTGTCTCAGGTGTGTATAGTCAATAAAATGTACTTTGTTGTATATAGTAAGTAGAATAAGCGTTATATCCTATTGAGTTGTCATGGTTTAACCCCAGCTGGCAACTCAGCCACACGCAGCTACTAGCTCACTCCTCCACAGTGGGATGAGGGAAAGAATTAAGAAAGTAAAAGTGAGAGAACTCATAGGTTGAGATAAAGACAGTATAAACTGTCTATAAAAAAGCAAAAGCTGCATATGCAAGCAAAGCAAAACAGGGAATTAATTCACCACTTTCTATGAACAGGAAAGTGTTTGGCCATCACCAGGAGGGCAGGGCACCATCACGCCACAATGGTGACTTTGGAAGACAAAACACTATCACTCCAAACATCCCCCCCTTCCTTCTTCTTCCCCCAGCTTTATATGTGAGCCTGATGCCACATGGTCTGGAATATCCTTCGGATCAAGGAGCAGAAAAGCCCTTGACACTGTAAGCACTGCTCAGCAATGACAAAAACATTCAGTGTTATCAACGCTGTTTCCAGCACAAATCAAAACCACAGCCCCATACTGGTTACTGCAAAGAAAATTGACTCTACCCCAGCCCAAACTGACACATGGCTTCAAAATGTATTTGTTTTGCTTCTCTTATGTGAGAAGGTAGGGAGATAGGGAACTGCGTGCTGTCTTTCAGTTTTAAAACAGACCAAACCACTTGAGCCTGCACTGTTTATGCTTCAGGTTCAGTCCAGACAGACTAAAGCTGAACACTGAACAGAAAAATTCTCATGAAAAGAGAACTTTCCCTCCCCCTTTTACATTTTACTTCAGGATAGCTATCATCTCTGTGCAGCAGTTTGTGTGGGCTTCACTGCCTATATCACAAGAACAACCTTTATTGGATTCCACTTTAGCACTTGAGTTTCAAGACCCAGCATGAAAATTAAAGTAGAGGTAGAAATACTGTTTGGTCCCACATTCCAAAATCTTAGATCAATTTTAGTTGAAAGTAAATATTAAAAACCACTAGGGCTTTTGAAGGCAAAACCCTACCTTTCAAAAACACCTCCCTCATATGTCATTGCTAGATCTAGTTCTGGTCCTTTTTGGGCAAACCAAACTAAACCCAGGAGTGGCTGCTGTTCTTCCTGTTCTGTTCTCTGGCAGTTTAAACTGACTCTTAATGGGAATTCTAAATAGATAGATATTTACCTGCCGTTATATACCTACCATTTTAGATAATTATTTTTCCTAATCAATATTGACATGCATCTAATTATTAGGATGGCAGGCAGATGATGCTTCACATAGACCATCCTGATTCAGCCTGTCTTTTGGTTCCATAAAAACTGACGTTTAGCAATTCAGAAAGTTATCAGGATGCAATGACAATGGTGATAACTTCTGTACCAGGTCCTGACCATATCAAAACATCCGAAAGTGTAGATCCTTTAGATGCTTTCATATAACTGTGAAGTGTGGTTCCTAAAATCTTTCATGATAGAGAAATCAAGCTAATGATGCAGTTGTTTCATCTGTTGAATTTAGCAGCAGTCAAGTAGAAAATTAAAAAAAGGTAAGCTTGAGCGTCCTGCTGAGTTCAGGCACCACATGAGTCAAGTTAACGTTTCACTGTTAATTTTTATTTCAGGTAATTCAGACTATCACTGCAACTGACAAAGATAACTCTGCAAATGGAGCGAGATTCCATTTTTCTCTTGATGAAGGGCTTTCTTTGAATCCCAACTTTACTCTAAGGAACAATGAAGGTAAATCAAACAAATAAATCTCAAAGAAATGGGTCTCTGTCTGGGATGTCTGAACTGAATAGAAAAATTTCCATGTGTTTCTTGACAGAAAGGGAAAACTGTAATGTGTTATCACTGAATTGTCAGATGTCAAGGGCATGCATATACAATGTATTGCAAACTAAAAATAATCAGAGATTACATTTTATTTTTATATTCCACTTAATTTTAACATTTATTCTTCATACATTGAGGAATGTTTTTTTAAAAGTGGATAAATGAAAATGGTGTTAACAATTTAACCTATTTCTAGGTAAAATAGGGTACTGGATACTGTCAAGATTATTTCTAATTATTGCTTGGAGGAGGAAAAAAAAATTTAAGGGACATAAAAATTGGAATTCATACTTACTTTTACAGACATGACATCAAGAGTAGGTCCTTCAGTGCTCCCTGGATGATAGTCTATTGCTTCATGCCCTTCCTAATAAAGTGTGCTTGAAAATTACAATCAGAAATTCATATGACACAGACCCTGAAGGAAAATGGCTTTCAGAATCACCAAACCAAATGTTTCTGAACATTTCTTGAATCAAAGAAACTGCCCAACTGTTCCAAAACCCAAACCTAAATTAGACTTACTCTTGGTTGAGTATTGCATTTTGGTCTCCACTTTGCAATCTGATGAAAATAAGATTAAACTTTAAATGTTTGTCTGAGTTCTCCTCTTAAGCTTTTGTGTATGTGCGCGTATTGTGTGGTTTTGTTTTTACACCTGTTTGTATGTGGGAAGTGTGGGGGATTGGCTTTACTTTACAGTTATATATTTGTAGTAGTGCTGTGGAACACCTTCTGATCCTAGAGATCACTAGACATCTCTGATGAAAAGCATTAATTCCATCATTGGTACATATGGTATTTACAATGATATTGAAACTATTCTTTACAGAATTTTTTATCTGTAAAATCTTTCAGGGAAGGAGACTCTATAATCTTCCTAAATAATCAGTTCCTACATTTAACTATATTTACAGCAGAAAAAAATATTAAGTCATGCTATTTGTTCAGACTAGATTAATGTATTTCATATCCTAGTTCCAAAAGAGATCAATAAAATATACATCAATATTAATTATAACAATAAAATTTGAAGGACTAATTCATATATTAAAAATATTCTTTAAGTGAGACACCAGACCTTTCTCAGATTAGCATGTCAATCCCACTCAGATTGTGATGAAACATTGTAGGAAAAGCCAGACAGTTGTTCCTGAAATAAAGGAGGTGTACGGTTATGCATTTTTGTATTTTAATAGAAGTTTCAAATAAACTCATCGAGTATTGGACTGTGATCTCATGTGGAAGATCATGGCCATGTTCATTTCTGTAAAAGATATTTATATCAAGATGTGCTTTTGAATGGCTGTATTGAAATTGTTGTTCCTGATGAAGTTGACATATGGTTTTGAACATATTTTAATCTGGATCTATATTGTATGCATTTATTACTACGTAAGTTATTTAATACAAAGATTTATAAGAGGGTGAAGAATTTTAGTAAATCTTTGACGCAGCAATGTCATGCTTTGGCTAAAAGTATGCCCTAGTAATCACTTGCTGCTTTCTTGTTACTTCCCCAAGAACAGTGAGAATTGACTTTAGAACCAACAGCAGAAAGCAGTGTTTGGACTATTCTAAATTGGATTTGACAGGGGAAAGTAGCTGAAGGAACTGAAAAAGGTGTCTTTTAAGGTAAAGGCCTATTGTGTATTATGTTTTTATTTCACCTAAGGAGTAGAAAAGTATGCACTTCCTATAGCATCTTGCATAAAACTTCTCATACATACAAACACTCCAAAAACATAACTTTCAAATTGCCCTTATAATTAACACAATGACAGTTTATCTAAAGTAATAACAAGAAATTTATCTTAAAAACAAATTCATTGTTACTATTTTGCTTGGCACGTGACCCTTTGAATATACTGTTTAAACACTGCCCTTTATTGGGACCTTTTCTTTGTGGTACATTCTATGAATAAAATAGAAGTGAAACACTTATGAAGTGCCTTCACAATATGTAGTTATCTAGCATTTACAATTTTCATATTTATCACCTATTCCTATTCAGAAATGGAATTTTTATTGCTTACTCTTCTAGGAAATAGTTGAGAGAAGGTGGTCAGAAAAAGCCTTTCTTATCTCTGTGACAAGTCTGCACTTCTGAAAACTCATGTTTTTGTGCATCAGCTGTTAAAAATAATCAGAATGCTCTTACAAGACAGCTGCTGTTTTTACCTCTGGATTTAATAACTCCATAAAGATCGGCATTCATGCAGGGTTTTATTTATTTGTTCACTATGTTAAGTTTTTAAAGGAAAAAACTACAGAAATTGCCTTAAGAGAGTTTTCAATAATGTTTTGCAGAGTGATAAGAAATAAATTCTTGATGTCACGTTGAAAGTGGTAGTCAGAAATAGATGTATCTGTCATTACAAAATTATATTTCTCTTGCAGTCATCTTCAAATCCAGTCATCTTCTCCTTTTATTTCTTTAGGATAGAGGTCTCATTTCATAAAAATCTCAGTAGGCATTTTCTTCCCTTGTTTTCATAACCCAAAACAACAGGTTTTTTTCTTTAAGTCCAAATAGACTTGCATGAATGTTCCCCTACTCCATTATTAAAAGCAGGCTCCACAGCAGTGCCTTGGATCTTCAAATGTTAATGCTTGTATCTATGCACTTTGAAACCTAGGGCTTGCACAAGCATAAGATTTTGTAGTTTGTTCCTATCTACCTGTATAGACTGCAGCAATATACAATCTCAGCATGTGTATGATTCAGGTCAATAATATTCTATGGCTTCAGGAGACCAAATAAGTATTAAAGCCTCAGTCCAGATAACTGATCACATGAGCAGTTAAACTTTTATCTCATGTGCCTGAACCTGTGCTTTTTCTAAATAAAAATCTCCACAATGTTAAATCTCCATTCTTTGAATAGTCACCCTCATAACGCAGAGCTTAAAACCCTCAGGGAAATGTAAGTCAGGAGACAGTCACAGGGCTATACCAAATATGCAGTCCAGTAGAACTTAAGAGTTGTTTGAATCACCTTCTGGATTCTGTTTGTGTTGCAACTTTCATTAAAAAAAAAAAAAAATGGAAAAGACAGAGTATGATACTTTTCCCCCACTGTATTCTTAAGGTACGTGAGATTCTTTGTTGCTATTTGAGTTTTATTTTATACTGAAAAAGTACTATTCAGAGCAGAGGCTTAAGAGTATGAACAAGAGGACAGACAACAAAATTATGCAGTATCTGTACTCATGTAAGCAAGACAGAGCAAGAGCTGGAATAGAATTTCTTTGCTATACAAAGAAAATGCATTAAGTTGTAATAATTTCCTTCAATTTTAGAGAGCAAACCCAGGGAAGATGCCTTTTTGTTTTTCTGGGAGTTGTACTTATGAAGATCATCTAATGAAAACAGGGTTGTTTACAATTTATTCTACCTAGAAAAATGTTGCAATCTCTAGTAAAACATGGTGCCAAGTACTTTTTGGACTGTGCTTTTATTTTGTAGATCAGATGCTACACAACTCATTTAATTGTTGTCTATGTTCTCCTCTTTTTGCTTTTAGGATGTTGTCATAGATAATTTTTTAATCCTTTTTCCATTTGTTTGTAATATCTTAAATTTACATGTTTTACCTAATCAGAAATATCTGATTTTGCATTTCCCATTAAAAAATTCCCAGGGTAATACGGGACTAAAAAAATCTTCTGTTGAGGAATCAGAGAAAAGATGACAGTTCTTCCCAATAAAACTCTTTCTATGTACTGAATTTTAAAATTGCATTTTTTTAAATTTTTACTCTGAAAGAATCACAATATTTTTTCAGATGCTTAAAGAATGGTGGATATATTTGTCAAAATTTGTTAATGCATGTGAACATGTTATTATTATAATATTCCAAACCATTAATATATAAACATGCATTTGCATAACATCTCTCTTCTCTGAGTTAAAAAAAAAAAAAAAATCATTCTTTCTTTCTGCCTAATTTGTTACTTCTTAGAGGCCTCTTTCAGAAGTTACATAACACTTTCTAGGAGCTGAAAAAAAGATTGACCCCTTTGAGAATAGTTCACTTAGAACATTTATGAATCTTATGCACTGTAAAGCACTGTTTTGCTGGTGCTATTTTTTTATCACAAGATATGCAGCCTACCATGGATGCTCCAATGGGTATTGTAAATTTCTTGGACAATAAGGGTTTATACCAATACTGGGCACATTCACCCAACAGTGCCAATAAGATTTGTGCATTCTCTTACTTTAATAAATTGAGACTGCTCACTTCTGGTAGCAGATTAAGTTTACCTTACTTTCAAGGAAGAACAACTCCCTAGAGAATGCTTAGCTACAGAAGCAGTGATGAAAGTGCTGGCTGACAACACGTATGCCATTTTTCTGATACTATCACTTTGGAGATTACCTTTTCGTAATGTTATATCAGAAGATGCATTAATACCCACAGAAGCAGAGTTGTGGTTTTCTGTAAAATCTGGAGCACAATGAGTTCAATGGCATCTGTATAAAATGACATTTGTAGTGTGTTCATCCACTCATGCTTGTGGTACCTTTTTCTCTCTGTCACAGAGCAAAAAATGCTAAAAAAAAAAAAAAAAAGATCAATTTTACTCATCATTGCTGTTATTTAGAAAGAGAGCAAGGTCCAGAGATTAATTGATCCCATCCCAGTGTGAATTTCCTTACATAACCTTCTGTTTATCTCTCTGCCCTTCTTATTTCCTACCTTCTTATTTCCTACCATTATTGCACACTAGCAGGCCAGTGAACTGACTTTAGGGCTTTAAAATTGCAAATAAGCATGCCAGATACCAGATCACATTTTAGTTGTTTTAGAACATCGGAAGTGACATCTAAAAAGGTCAGGTTGAAACTCCCACTTTGCAACCCAAAGTGAGGGGGAAACAGCTACATAGTTCCTGCAC